TTGGATTGGGATATATATTGAAGGTAGAGCTAACAGTACTTGCTGGTGGATTGAACATAGAATGATAGCAAAATAAAGGAGTCAGTGGTGATTCCAAAGCAAACTGAAACAAAGGGAACCGTGAAGCTTGTATAAAACATCGGGTGCCTAAGAGGTTGGCACATTTGGAAATGTGGTTGGCTCAGGCTGGAGGTAGGGAAGACATTCCTGGTGGAGATTGGCATGTCCTTTCCATAGGTTTTTACAAGAGGATTTGCCCTAAAACAGGTGAGGTGTGTCACGCACCTTCCAGTATCCCACATTACTATGGGCGCAGGAAACTAGTATGTCCACCCTTCTATCCAGAACAAGAAATCTAACTCCACAATGAATGTAAAGTAAGGGTAGTCTAATCTCTGAGGATATTCACATGTGTAGTCCCTGAAGTAAACATCACTAGTCTGTGAAGTGCTGAAGCTCAACATCAATAGCTTTTTGCTTCAGAAATTTCACAAGCCACAGAACGAGAGTTAGGGGACTGCTCGAAGCAAACCCAGACCTTCAGACCCACCCCCTCTTTCAGGTAGAAAGTCCACTGGTATCTCTATGCACCTGGGAGGACCACATAGCTCTCCTATCTGAAACAAGAAATACAGGAGAGCGTAATCTGGAGCTGATCACAGTGTGTTCACTAGGATGAACACAAAGCCCATTAAAATATTCATTTAGGAAAAAAAAATATCATATAAGGTTTTAAACTATTCTTTAACCAAGAGTTGTGTTCTACAAATACGTAAATACATTTCATGCAAATAACTTCACATTAAGTCTCCATCAGCCTATTCTTTCAAAAAATGTGAACTTTACTTTTACATCTGTACCAGGCCTCACCTTTCCCCTGCTTCCCCTCCAGCCAGACTGTTATCTCACTGAATACCTTTAGGGAGATGCCATTCATGGACGTGGACAGACTAAATGACCTGGTTTCTCAAGAGTGCGTCACTCACTATCTGGTGATTTTTATCTGTCTTAGTAAAATAGTACTTCTTAGAATTAAAAGAATTAGGTAATACATATAAGCATTTGGAACCTCATCTCACAGATAGCCTAAGTACAAACTTAAATTATTTTAATATGTAGCATTGAATTCTAACACCCTTTTTGTCATTCTGCTGCGCTTACCCATTGCTGCAGAGAATTCCTTCCTCTCGCCTTGGGTAAATTACTATCTAATGTTGTTTTTTCCCCCAGGCAAATGCCCCCATTTTTTTCGCATGCTCTCCAAATTGTCAAGACAACTAAAAGGCAACTTTCTGCACCTCTTCCCAGTCTCCATCTATGTTCTTTGTAACTTCGGGGTAGCGCTGATGGTATTTATCATATTCTAACTTGGAAATCCAAGAAATCAAAGCTTCAAGTCATGTACTTCCCCATTCCCTGTAAATTCTTCCTCTCCTCTTTATCCTTTTCTGCTTTATACAAGATCAAGAAAATCACCTGCAGTGAAGTCACACACCTTTCCCTCTTTTCATCCACATAGATTATTTCAGCAGGCTACCCTGTGTACCCACGGAAAGCCTGAGTATGCCTGGGTGGGTATGAGCTTTGAGTCTCTCCTGAATTCTTAACCTGGAAGTGTTTCAGTAGTTCAGCTGTAAAGGATTGCACAGCTTGACTTTGCTACTCATTTGTAGAGTACTATCTCCAAGTTATGACTGAAGAGTGAAACTGGATTTTTTACTTAAATGTGCCCTGACCAAAAAACTTATCGTGTGCAAGGTGTTTTAAGGGTAGAGATATCTTTCCAGTGTGGTGAGAATCAGGGGTGTCCAAACTTTTGGCATCTCTGGGTCACACTGGAAGAAGAGTTGTCATCTTAGGCCACACAGTAAATACATTGGAACATGTAGTCACAAAAAAAATCTCATAATGTTTTAAGTAAATTTACAATTTTGTGCTGGGCCACGTTCATAGCCATCCTGAGCCGCATGCAGCCCACAGGCCACAGGTTGGACACCTCTGAATGTTCCAAAACACTGGGGGCTTCTCTCATGGTCCCAAGATTTCCTAGGTCTTGCTTAGAACAGATATCGAAGACTGTGCAACTTCCACTTATACCTTGTCCCACCATCTTCCTAAAGCAGCAGTTTGATGTGCAGCCCCAGTCACGTGAACCAAACATGCTTGCTCAGCACTAGAAGCAGTTTGCAAAACTCATCCTCACCTGCAAATTCACAATCCACCTCCCCAACATTATCCCCAAGTCTGTATATCTTAAGACTTAAAATTGCAAGCCACACAAAAGGATGTACCTGCAGACCAAAGCGGCCGTTTTCGGTTTTTTGCTTCTGCTAATTTTTGTCTTGCCTGCATATTGTAAACACCCAGAGGACTTTGGAAACATGATGCCTGGGTTCCCACTGGAGATTTTAAAAGTATTTGTTGAGTGTATGGGGAGCAGGGGGTGCAGGTGCTTTTGAGATTTTTTTTAAACTCAGGTGATTTTAGCATAATTTGTAAACCTGTAGCTGTATGTGAAAACATTTTCACACCAACCCTACTCATGTGGGATGAACGGTCATTGTCCCCCTCCACACATGCACAAGAAGTTACTTGGAAATAGGGTCATTAAGTTACAGTGAGGCCCTACATGTGGAGTGGGTCCCTGATCCAACATACCTGGATTACCGGTCCCCTTATTTACCATGTAAAGAGAGCGCGCCACAGGGAGAACTAATGAAGACAGAACCAGAGAAGGGAGCGATACATCAATAAGCCAAAGACCGCCAAAGACCACCAAAGACGGCCAGCAAACCGCCGGAAGTGAGCGGCATGAGGCAGTCTTCAGGAATAACCAACCCTGCCAACGCCTTGATTTTGAGCTGCTAGCCTTCAGGAATACGAGACGATACGTTGGTGTTGCTGAAGCCACCCAGGTTGCGGCACTCCCTTACGGCTGCCCTCGCAAACCACACCACGGTTTCACCCATATTCTCACTCCCCTTGAGTTTCCACAGGCATCCTTCCCCTGCAGGACTTGGCTACTCCACCGCCACCCGCCCGCTCCTGATTTATACTTCCTGCTTTTCCTCCTCAAATTCTTAATATGTATTGAAGGTATGTGCTGGGGACTACTTAACACCAGAAGAGAAAAGAAGAAACACAAATGGGCAGTCCTTACTCTCATGGAATTTAGTCGAGGGGAGAATGCAATCAAATGACCGCCCAGATACAACACTGCACTTGTGCTTTGTGTAACAAGAAGCTGCCATTACTGGTGACCTCCTAGGATTCACCCTTGTTAAGGATGTTGAGGAGGAGTGCCACTTGAGGGAAAATCGAGAGTGAATCAGAATTAGCAGAAGCTGCCGCAAGTACAGGGACCTGCATGAGCAAAGTCTTTGTGACCAGAGGGACACCCTGGATGTCCTCATGCAGAAGGTGAGCAGGCCATGTCAAAGTAGTATTTTCAAAGGCCTAAAAACAACCCGCGTACACATAAAGATGGACATGTGTCAAAGATTTTATTGAACTCAGTAATTAATTAGGGATCCAGCCAGAGAGTAAAATCGGTTCCAACAAGAATGACAAGCAGTTTATACAGAAAATCAGGATTATAAAAGAAATGTTAAAATAAGATTGCTTAGGTTAGATACAAAACTGGTTAGTTCTTCACCGGACAAAATAAAAACACCTTTGGGGATAGCTTTTTCCTACCAAGTCAGTCACCAAGTTAACATGTAACATCACAGTGTGCCGGTTCTCATCAAATGGTAAACACCGAAGTCAAATGCAGGTACAATTTTGTAGACAACTTAAGTAATTTTTGTGTTTTTGTTAGACGATGTCCTACATTCTCTTTTGGTTTCTAAGTTGGGGAAAATAGTTCTTAATAGTCAAGTTGCAGAGACAGGGGAAATCTGATGTTAAGATGAGGGTAAAAGTTTAGTATCATAGACAATTACTACAAAACTTTTACATTTCTCTATATAATAAATCCTTCCCCCCCGTCAGAAAATTGGGAAGGGGTCTGAGAGCCACTGCTTTTGAGCTTTTAATCTTAATATTCCAAGTAGTTATCTCATTTCAAACGCATTCACCTAACCCAATCCCCACTTCCAAGATAAGGGCTACCTTCCCCTCATGTCTTCTCGTGATTGGGTGTGAGATGTGCAAAGATTTTTTTCTAAGCTACGTTTTTACACACACACACAAATTATGCACATGATGTCTAAAAGGAAAACTTTGAGAATTCTAAATCGTTGATTAAAAATTTTCCCCTAAAACACAAGTCAATAAAACTATACCAACCCACATCCCAGAAGAAGCTATTTTCTTGTATTTGCCTTTGTTCCTTTTATTTTGCTCATCCTGAAGAACAGAGACTCCATAATACATAAAGAGAAAAGTCTTTCAGCAGGCGGTCAAATAGAGAAAGACAAGAACATTACAAACAACATTATTTATGTGTTTCAAAACACTGAACCATCAAGGCTTGTTTTAAGAATTATAAAAAGTAGAAAACTTGAAAATAATTTTAAAGTATTTGCATTTTTTAGCAACACCTCCTCTTTCCTCTGATAGAATATTCAGGGAAATTAAGTTGTTCTCCACTCGGAATGATAAATGGTACAAAGCCTTGACACTGTCAGTAACAGGATCAGTAATAGGGTGTCTCCATTCCACAAGTAACTACGGTATCTTCAAATCTGAGGTCCTGATTATACATAATTTTGTTTAAAAAAAAAATCTCTAGTCTTGAACCTAATCCTACGGATTCCAGACTACATTTCTTCTCTAACTTCCCAATCTTACTCTGCTTATGCATTTAGTGTTCTAATTAGTATGGGGTCCTTCAGTAAAGACTGAGCCTAAAGGCAGCCTCTAACACCAGATACGTGCAGAAAGCCAAAGGCTCTGGGGTAGGGAACTGAGTTCCGACACACATCTTTTATTGGATTACTTAATATTTGTGTTGCAAAGTCAGGCCCTTGACTTTTGAGCCCTTGTGGTTTTAGATCTCACACCCAGGAGGGCTGAGGGTCAGCAGCAGAGTTAGAAGAATTAGCCTCCGGGAGGCAGATGGTGAGAGAGTCTGTGTTTGTGCCTGCATTTGGGAAACAAAGAGAAAAGGTAGGCCTGAGAGCTCCATGGAACACAAGATGAGAGAAATTATAAATGAGGAGCCCCTTTGCCACATCATAGAATGATATCTGCCCATACTTATAGTCTAGGAAAACTCCAACTTTGTGTATCTGCTCTCCTGAGGCGACCCTTTTTAGAGGAGGAAAGACCCAGAAGGTATACTCGGTTTCCATCATGGATCCCGTGAGTAAGAATTTCTCTCCGGAGGCTTTGAGCATGATATCCTGCCCACTGGCAGTGTCCTCGTAGACGCCCAACTGCCATTTCGTTGCCTTTTCCACATCCACCTCCCAGTAATGCCTCCCTGAGGTGAAGCTCTCCTTGCCCAGCACAGAAGCACTGAAGTCAAAGCTCTCTGGGCTGCCAGATACATTGGGCTGGACATTTCTGAATCTCACGCTTCTCAGATCCTCAGATAAGGTAAGGCAGGGATGAGCTGTTGTGGGATCCAAAGTTACAGGTCCTGCAGGGAGAGAGAGATTTGGTTAACTCAGGGGTCCACCAAAGCCAGTGCCAGGGACTATTTCTAACACACAGGGGCTTCCCAATGAGGGGGCACAAGTCTGACACAGATATGGAACAGGAATTATGGGAGAGTCCAGGAGAGGAAACCACTAAGCTTTGTTTTAAGAAAAGACATCACAGAAGAAAAACGCCAACAAGATTATGGAAGGAGATACAGCATCTCTACAGAGGAAGAACAAAACAAACAATTAACAGACTACAAAAGGTATAGAGGTACCTTTCAAACCATGAAGGGACTGGACCAGGCTGCAAAAATGTCCTAGAATCCTGTCCTAGCCAGACATCACCTGGGACCCAACTCTAGTCCCCTGAAGGTCTCCCCCAAGCCCAAAACAGCTGGAAGCATTGAGTCTCCTAATAAACACAGCTGATTCATGGCTCTTCCCTGTGACAGAACTGCTCTCCTCATCCTACACATCACCAGGGTGGAACATGGATGCCTAGAAATTGCTGCCAGCAGGCCCTTGATAGTGACTATAAAACCTGTGAGACACATCCAGAAAAATCAAGCTGAGAACAAGAAAGCTCAGTGTGATTTCTTATACTTGAATGAAACTGATACTTGCCTTCGTATCTCTGACTGTTTCTTCTCTTATCTCTTTCTGTTCAGACTCTACATATAGTGATTTCTCATGGCTTGGTCCTGGGTCTTCCTTTTTACTCTTACAGTCCTTTCCCCCATGTGACTTCCTCTAGCCTCAGTGTTAAGTATCTTCTATATATTCATGACTTATTCCATGAACAAGCTGCCAAATACCAGGTGGGCATAACACAGGCCTTTCGGATACACTGCGTCCAGAACAGAGTGCTCAGACTTCTCCCTTTCCACTTTCTACTTTTCAGTTAATAGCGCACTCAGTATTTAGTTGATTAAGCCATAAACCTGGAGTAGTTCTTTACTCCTTACTTTCTTTAACATCTAATCCAGTAGCAAGTTTTATGGCCAAAGGAACTTAAATCTCTGGACCTGAAACACAATCCATGTCAGTAGTAGGGTGATCTTAAAAGCCACAAAACCTTGAATTTTAAATTTCAAATTGTCCCAGGCTCTTAGCATTTCTAGAAGATGGGCAGAAATAAATGTAAGTTCTTTCTGGAAGAATGCACACCTTTGTTCTTGGCCTCACAGAATTTCTAAAACTGATATCTAAGGAAAAAAGGAAAGCTTTCCTATTCAGACTCTAAAATAATTTTTGCTTACTATGTTTGAAGGGGGAAAAAGCTTAAAAAATATCTACAGGATATAGGAAACTGAAAAGTAAAGCCAGGCAGACTTGACAAAGAACCACATATATTGTCTACAAATGAAAATACTAAAATGAATTAGCTAAAGTGCCAATGGATGATTACATGGAAAGAAAGCTATAGGTCAATATGCTTCATTAATATAAATACAAAGGTTCTTTTAAAAATATTAGCCCATTAAATCCAGAAATATATAAAATAGAGAAAACATCACTACCAACAATTTACCCTGGGAATGTAAAACCAGTTCAACACATGAAAATAAGATAATTCATCATATTAACAGATGAAGAAAAACCATGTGAATATTTTTGTAGATACAGAAAATGCATCTAATAAATTCAACATCCATTCATGATAAAAAGTTTTATCAAACCAGGAACAGAGGGGAACATCCTCAACTTAATGAAAGGCAGCTATGAAAAACATACACTTAACAACAAACTTAAAAGTGAAAGACTTAATAATGCTTTCTTCTTCCCTAAGATCAAGAACAAGACAAATTTTTCTCACCAATTCTATTCAGTATTATTTTGGACATCCTAGCCAGCACAATAAGGTGAGAAAAATACCGAAAAGACTTACATATTGAAAAGAAATAAAACTATATTCATAGATTAGCAAACTATCTTTGCACGAAATTCCAAAGAATCCAGTAGATCTAATAAATGAGTTTAGCATAGTGATAAAATACAAGGTCAATATTCATAAATCAACACTTTTCTATATATTAGCAATAAACTAAAACTAAATGAAATTTAAATTAGAATTTGATATGTAATATTAATAATAGCACTAAAAATAAAATACTCAGGACTCCATCTAATTAAATTTGTACACTATTTGTTTGCTGAAAACTACAAAATACTGATAAGAGAAATCAAAGACTACCTAACTATACAGCTGTATCATCTTATCCTTAAATTAATTTACACAGTCAACATAATACCAGTGAAAACCCCAGCGGTTTTTTTTTGTACAAGCTAACAAGCTGCTTTTAAAATTTATATGAAAAGGAAAGGATATACAGTAACCAAAATTATTTTTTAAAGGACAAATGTGGAGAACTCACGATGCCCAATTTGATGACTTATAGAATAATCAATCAAGCCAGTGTGATATTAGCAAAAGAAAAACAGATTAACACAACGGTCAATGGTTTTTGAGTCCAAACAGACTTGCTCACATATGCTGATTTTCAACGAAGGTGCTAAGTGTCACATAGTGTGCCCTCTCTCTCTCTCTCTCTCTCTCTCTCTCTCTCTCTCTCACACACACACACACACACACACACACACACGATATTTGATATATATTTCTTAGGATGCAAAAAAGCAGTCATAAAAGAAAAAAATGATAAATAAAACTTCAAAATTTAAAACTTCTCTTTGAAAAACTCTATTAGGTAAATGATAATATAAATCACACACTAGGAGAAATCTTTGAAAATCCATTATCTGATAAAGGATTTACAATCAGAATATAAAAATAAATCACAAAACTCAAGAAAATAAACAATTTTTAAAACTGGGAAACGTTCATAGATACACCTCAAAAAAGAGCAATAGTTAAAGGGTAAGCAAACACATGAAAATAGGCTATCTTTAGCCATTTCAGAAATGCAAATTAGAAATCAAAGCGATATACATATGCTTATTAGGTTAGCTCTAACAAAAAAAAGAAAAGCAGTAATACCAAATACTGGCAAGGACACTGTAGAGCAACTGAATCTCTCCTACGTTACTGGTGGGAATGTAAAATGGCACAGATACTCAATCAAGAGAAATAAAGTCATGGCCACACAAAACTCTGTAAGAAATTATTTGTGGCATAAAGTTGGAAACAATGTTAAGTGTTCAGAATCTCAGAATGGTAAGTAAAAAAATGATAAGTAAATTCAGACAATGGAATGCCACATGACAACAAAAAGGGACAGACTCCTGATACACCCAACAAACTAGGACGTGCCTCAAAGGCGTCACACTAAGTGAAAGAAGCCAGACTCAAAAGGCCACATACTTCATGAATCCACTGACAGAACATTCAGGAAAAGGAAGAACTCTGGGGCTGGGAGATATAACTCCTTCGTTACATGTACTGACATTTTTTTCCCTAGAAGTTTACAATTTTTAAATAGTGGCATCAGCCTGCAATTGTGTTGCAAGCCCAGGAAAAAGATAAAGAATTTCCACAGGAGAACCTTTCAATGTAACATCGAGCAATTATTTCAATAACTTTGTAATATATATAAGCCCATTAAACTCTCCAATCTTTTATATCCTGAAGCTTCTGGAATTTACTTTTACGTATGGTAGGATGTAATAAAAGATGTCAACTCACTTTGAAGCACTTCCAGTATCATCCTCATTCCTGGTATTTGGCATAATCTCGGGTCCGTGATCTGGGCAGGCTCTAGGCTCTGAAGCAGCATCACCCCATTGCTCCTGTCAAGGAAGGGCAGTTGCAGTTGTGTGGCAGGCCCCGGGCCTCTACGCGGAGGGTGATCCCACGACACCAACTCCCTGCCCCGACCCCCGCACTTCTCCCACGTCTGCTCCCACGAGTCCGGCTCTGACCCAAGTATTTCCAAAATAAAAACGTACCGTTCAAAACAACACCGGGCATCCTATGGGGAGAAAAGGAGACACGGTTACTGTGAATATCTGAGCCACGCCTTTTGAGTTCTGCCCATGAAAGTATCTTCTAATAATGAAACTCAATTTCCATGGAATAGCTTCAGCTTCATGATGCTAGTTCTCAGGTATCAAATTTTAACACTGAATAGGAAAAGTCAAGAAAAGGCTTGAAGCCATCATTATATCCCCAACAGAAATATTTTCTGTACCTCCTCAGCCTTCTTAGTCACAACACTCATCGCGCCAATTCAGCCCTTCTCTTTGCTTTCTGTGCCGGGGGTGGCAAGGGCCGAGCAGGGGAAGGGGCCAGCTAAGCGGGGTGGGGGGAAGGTTCGAGCCACGTCAGGAACTGAGCAAAACTGGGTCACACTTACCTGTACTCTTTGGAACTAGCCTCGGCCCTAAAATGGAACCTAAGGGCTCATGGGTGGGGGCTTCTCAAATAAAAGCACCCACACGCAAATGTGGGCCTGGCAGAGAGAGATGAATAGACATTTCAAAAGATGGTAATATACTTGTTAAAAAGACGATGCCAGTTACTATACAAAATAAAAAATATACAACATAACAAATAAACATCCCAAGGTTACCACTGATTAAAATGTTTTTGGGTTTTTGCCAGAGGCAATGTGAATGTTAACAAGCATACATCTGTATGTGTAAACATATTCTCCAAAACCAAACAAAATGCAGCTCTGCATTTCTTTTCACTTAACCAGACATCTTGAAGATAATTTTTTAGTGCCCATGGAGCTTCTTCATTCCTTTTTTATGGTGGCAGAATGTTCTATTGTATAGATGTATCCTAATTTGACTAACCAATTGTTTACATATTAAGGGACACTCAATTCAAACTTACTATTCATGATTTAAGGGGAGTAGCTCTATGATTTTAAGATGACTCATAATGATATTGATGATTAGAAAATAGCCAAACAGCCTTCAGGAATGGTTGAAAATCACTGGATATTGAGCTCTGGAAATGATCCCTAATGAGTACAGCCGATTTCTCATTTCTCAAATACTACAATGAAGGTTCTTTCTAGAATCTTACCTTGAGCAACGCTATGGGAGTTTCCCCGCACTTCTTCTCTAGCTCTGCGATGACCTGCTGGAGGCTGTAGATCTGTTCATAGATCTTGATTTCACTCTCCTGTAGTCTTTTCATGTTCTCTTTCCCCAGACTGTTCAGTCTCTGCAGAAGCATCTCCTCATTAATATTTTCCAACCAGTAATTTCTCTCATTTGCTAATTCAACCTTCTTTTTAAAAAACCCACTTTATTGCCTGCTGCCCCTGGAATATACATAACTGGATAAGGCCAGGATATCCCTCTGCGTCAAGCAAGACGCCTCAGAAACTTGACTGTGTAACAATATGTTGACGTGAATGGTGTGCCTGTAGTCTGCTTATTCAGATAACAACCTGGCCCTAAAACAGATCATTGTTTACTTTGCAGTCTTATTCAAAAAATTTCCTATTTCCTTCATCAAATTAAAATTAAGATTTGAATTAAAAAAATTAAGTGTCAAGGAGAATAATTAATCAAGTCACTGACATCAGCTTCCTTTTTATCCTTGCAGATGCTCCACATAGGCACAAAGCACATGCTACCTATTTTTTGATTTTACAGAGAGAAACATCAATTTGTTATTCCACTTACTTACGCATTAATAGGTTGATTCTTTTTAAAAAATTTATTGATTTTAGAGAGAGAGAGGGGAAGGGGAAGAGAGAAAGAGAAAAGAAAGAAGGTGGGGGGGGAGAGCACGCGAGCTACCTGGCCAAGACTACAAACACTATTTTAGAAGCTTATGTAGAGTCTCTCCCTATTTTCTTCCCTCTCAGGTGTGCATCTCCTACACACTAAGGGTCCCCATGAGACCTGCAACCAGGGAGCAACGGGCAGTGGCAGCTTGTCCTGTCTTACCCCTGACCCCGTCTCCAAGCCCCCTTTTCTCCGACTTTCCAATGAGCCAAAGCAGCCCCGCCTAGGCTCTCTCCTGTAGCTTCTTCTGTCCTAAGTCCTTTCCTGTTTCCCTGTCCCCAGCTTTCGTAATGTACTCTCAAAAGCACCTGGACTTTTATCATGAAATCTTTCCTGCATGAAGTCCAGAGCCCACACACTATGGGCCAGCCCACGGCAGATGTGCTCTACCCGGTTCCGGTCCGGTGACATGGAGAGTCGGGACTACGCTGGCACTCCAAGAGGGCTTCTGGGGGCTGGCAAATTGTTGGTTCTTGATCTGGGCGCTGGGCCTTCAGGGGTGTGTTCGGCTTGAGAAAATTCAGTTATGACTGTGCTGTTATTCCTCAATTTGGCGGGGGCGGGGGGGTGGACGCTGATGCAGATTGTCACACTCAACCCTCACATCAGTATAGTAAACCAGGAGCCATTATTATCCTCACCTTCCAGCGAAGAAAACCAAGCCCAAGGCCACAGCGAAGCTGGTCAATAGGAGACCCCAGATAGGAACCTCATCAACCTGACTTCAAAGACTACGTCTAAACCAGACTGAAATAATTTTACAGTATTCCCTAATTCATGTGTCTTTTCATTGGCATGTAAGTGTATTTGCAATAAATTCTCAGAAATAAAATTGCTGGGTGCATATATACATTCTGTTCATAAATACATTGGTATCACTGGGTGTCTTATTCTGGAAATGACATGTTCAGCTCTGCTTTCTGTCACGCTCCCAACATCGCAAGGAAGCCATTTTTCAACATCTCACCTGTATTGCTTCCTGGAATTTCTCCTCTAGCTCTGCGACAAACGCCATCTTCTGAGTCAGAGTGGCTTTTTTTAAGTTCAGGTTGAACGTGGCCCCTTGCAGGTTCATGTCATCCTCTTCAGTCATCAACCGGAATATCATCTTATACTCAGATTCAATCACTTCTTTAAAATTCTGCTCTTCTCCCTTCAGCACAGAAAAAGGTATAACGGACTTCAGGTTCAACATCACACATTACCCATGAATCTTGTCCATGTCTAACTTCAATATAAAAACAAGAAAATAGAGAGTACAGGGCAAGAAACAAAAGGACAAAATACAAAGGATGAAGGAAATTTCAGAGTGAAGATCAATCAAGGTATCAATATAAACCTAGAACATGAAATGCAGTTGAAGGAATGTTAATTGATTTAGAGGAATCTACAACTGCAGTGACTAAAGAGGAGGAAACCAGAAAAACTGGAAGTAATCACCAATGAATACCGAGCATGAGAAAAGAGAAATTAATGAGCTATTCCAGGATTTTTAATCCCTTTAATTCCCATCTGAGGGCATTATTTTTTTCACTGCATTTTTAAAGAGAAGGGAAGAGGAAAAAAAAAAAAAACCAATGTGAGAGAAACATCAATTGGTTGCCTCCCGTACATGCCTGGATTGGGGATTGAACCCACAACCTAGGTATGTGCTCTGACCTGGAATCAAACACATAACCTTTAGGTTATGGGATGACGCTCCAGCCAAGTGCGCCAAACTGGCCAGGGCTACTGTAAGATATTTGGACTCAAGCAACTGAAGAACAGAATTGCCAAAATTTACAAAGGGAAACTACAGAAGGGATAGATTCCAGAGGTGGGGAATCAGGAGCTCAGTTTTGGATATGCTGATTTTGATTAGTCAATTTGCCATGTGAGGAGAGATGCCAAGTAGAAGGGTGAACAGGAAAGCCCATTCTTTGTAAGGCAGGGCTGGAGATACACATCGGGAACATTCAGCTTAGTGATGCTTAATCTCATGACACTTGATGGACTCCAGATTTATCAAGAGCCTGACCGCTTAGCCCCTCTACCACCACCCCACCAGTTCACCATCACCTGGCCCTCATTAATGCCACAGCCCCCTCTTCCAGCCCCACCCCCGCTCTCACCCTAGGAGGCTAGCCTCGCTTCAGCAGCCAGGGCATTTCTGTGAAAATGGAAGTTACATCACACTCTTCCTCTGTTCAAAGCTTTTCAGTGTTTTCCTTTTTTCATTTCGAGCCACCTGTTCTATATGATTTGGACTTTTTATCTCCTGATCTCATTATCTTCTAGTCCCCTTTATTCTTACAATCCTGAGTAAACACCAACCTTGATACCTTCCTGCACGTCCTTCCCTCTGCCTAGAACATTCTTCCCAGGACCACATGGCTCAATTCCTTGGGTCTTCCCAAATGCCAATTTCTGAATAACAAGGTACTGACCACGTTATCTAAAGCTGAACCCCATGACTTCTGCTTTTCAAAATAAAAATTTTATAGCACTTAACATGAAACATACTATACTTTGACTTGGAGATGATAAACACACAATATAATATACTCATGATGTATTACACGATTGTATACCTGAAATTTACATAATTTCATTAACCAATGTCACCCCAATAAATTCAATAAATAGAATGAAACATACTATATATTCTTTTTATGGTTTTCCTACAGTAAAATAGTTACACAAGGGCAGAACTGTTTGTTTTTTTCACTGCTGAATCCCCAGCACCCAGCGTATTTTCTGGCAAACAATGGGAAACAAGTATCTGTTGAATGCATGGTGCCTGGGCTGAAAAAAGTTGGGGATCAGTTGAAAAGTTCTTGCACAGCCAGGCAAGTCTCCTCTCTTATCATATTCAACTTAGATGTTTTTCTTTAAAAACTGAAAGGGGGAAGACCCAAAATCTGGGGTATGTGGCATAAAATAAGTGAAATATGAAGAGAAGGCTTGAAATCAGAAGTGAAACTTGTGCATTACAATGGCAAGTGCTCAATTTGTATGGTCATTCTCAAACTGCCCTTTAAAATGGTTCTGGGATTTCTATGACCACAAATGCATGACATGTTCCTTCTCCTGCGGCACTGTTATATGGTGTTACTAACCTTTTTGATCTTTGCCAAGAAGGGTTGCAAATGCCATCTAACAAATTTAATTCAATTAATTTCTATTTTTCTTACCATGAGCAAAGTTCAGGATCTTCCTGTATGTTCAAAAGATATTTGCATTTTCCTTTCTGCGACCTCTCATTTCTTTGATCATTCTATTAAGTATCTAGTTTTTCACTTATTAGCTCTTAAGCGCTCTTCGTCTAAGAAATTAGCACTTTTCCTACCCATGGATTTGAAGTATCTTCTCCTGTTTTGTCATCTGTCTCTCTACTTTGTTTATATTATTTGCTATCCAACATTAGAGGCAATTTTCTTCTCATAATGAAGATAGGTGCTAACCTGAATAACCACCATTTTTTCCTGTTCCTCAGCCAGTAGGATCTTAGTAACGTCAAGCTTCTCCTTCAACGTGTTCAACAAGTCCCGGAATAACTTCTGCAGAGAAAAAGATCACAGAATTCCAAGTAAGGCAACTGCCTCAGAACAGTAGGAATCCCAACCTAAGACAACTGAAAGGTCAAAACGTGGCGCTTGTCTAATATTTTTTTGATTAACCCTTAACCAGAGGAATGGTATTAGAGGATCAGAGTATCTGCCCCCGAAATATGTAAGTTACTAAGTAAGAGGAGGCAGCCATCCTGCCCCAACGCCCTGGAATCTGGAGGAGGCTTACCCTGTAACTCTCAGCAGCCTCCTTTATTCCACACACCACATGAGTCTTATGCTCCTGGGACAGGAAACACTTGCCACAAAGCGTGACTTGGTCATCCTCACAGAACACCAGAGGTGGTTCCAGGTGTTTCTGGCAGTAGTCATCTTCTGCGATGTTCTGCTGTAGCTCGGGGCTGAGCCATTTAAACATCCTGGCAGAGAGTCCCAGGTGAAGACTGGGCTGATTCTGATGTGAAATACCTCCCTGCACGGAACAGGAGGAGAGTGGCGGTGTTCTGGGACAGACACGCTCGTCAACCCCAGCGGCCGCAGTCGAGTACCTGAGCGGAACACCACGTAGAGTCCTGTGATCCCACCCTTCCTCGTCCTCGGAGCAGGTCGCTAAGCGGACTCCTGCGATCTGGCCCTTCCTCTTCCGCACAGTAGGTCACCACGTGGACTCCTGCGATCTGGCCCTTCCTCTTCCGCACAGTAGGTCACCACGTGGAGTTCTGTGATCGGGCCCTTCCTCTTCCGCACAGCAGGTCACCACGTGGACTCCTGTGATCTGGCCCTTCCTCTTCCGCACAGCAGGTCACCACGTGGACTCCTGTGATCGGGCCCTTCCTCTTCCGCACAGTAGGTCGCCACGTGGAGTTCTGTGATCAGGCCCTTCCTCTTCCGCACAGCAGGTCGCCACGTGGACTCCTGTGATCTGGCCCTTCCTCTTCCGCACATCAGGTCGCCACGTGGACTCCTGTGATCTGGCCCTTCCTCTTCCGCACATCAGGTCGCCACGTGGACTCCTGTGAGCCGGCCCTTCCTCTTCCGCAGAGTGGGTCGCCGCGTGGACTCCTGCGATCAAGCCCTACCTGTTCCGGAGCCAAGTGCTTCCGGAAGCAGTTATCAGCAGTTACGTCACCGTTCTAGATTAAAGGGCTCGCTCAGTGTTCTGAGAATTTTGAGCCCCTGGCTAAAAATTGCTTACAAATAAGTACATAGCACACCATTTCCCTGTAAAGCTTAAAAAAAAAAACCAAACACGCGAATAAAAAGGAAGTCAATGCAGGGCACAGTGCCTTGTAATAAGCATTGGAGGAACTTCGGTAACCAGGGTGAGGCGAGGTCCGGCGTTAGACATCCTGGGTGCAAATTTAAGGAACCACTCCATCTTGCAGTGCTTGCTGGAGCCAGAACGGAGCTGGGCGTGGGGGGCGTAGGGGGGCAACCTTGAGTGCCTCCTTAAATGAGAGAGGCGCATAAGTGTCATATTTATGAATGCGTCTCGTATTTACGAATGCGTGTCATATTTACGGAGATACTTACTTTCAAGCTCCCGTAGATGTGCATGCTCCCAATCTTGTGCCTGAAGCTCAACATATGGCCCGTCCAGAAACTGGCCTTGAGAGGACATAGGTTAAAAAAATAGATAAAATGACCCCCAAAATAAATAGGTTTATTTTTTTTGCCCAGACACTAAAGGAAAACTGCATGTCCGCGCCCTTTTTTAAAAAAAATAAGTAAAATATAACAAATCTATAATCTCCGGCATCCCCGTTTCTAGACAGTCCTGATTACCACTGAGCAACAATTCGACCTTTTCCCTGGAAATATATACATTTGTTAACTTCTCTCTCTCTCTCCCCCCCTCTCTCCCTCTCTCTCTTGTAAGGGAGGGAGAAAGCAAGGCAGAGAAACATCAATGTGTGGATGCATCTCGCGCACCCCCTACTGGGGACCTGGCCTGCTACCCAGGTTTGTGCCCTAGACTGGGAATCTAACCTGCGATCTTTGGCCTCTTAAGGCCACACTCAATCCACTGAGCCACACCAGCCAGGGCTCCCTAGAAATATTTTAATTACCTTTTAGAGTATATTACCTACTGATTTGGGGGAAACCTTTCCCCAATAAAAAGTTGCCTTAGTTGACTTAGTTTCCTTGTCTAAGGAAATGCCTGCCATTGTTAGGTGACACCATAACGCCAAGTATTAATATCTCAGAAGCCTCTATTGTATTTACATCCGTCATCTGTCCTCATTCCACCTTAGGACCCAGCTCTTTTGACATTATCTCTTGAAACGAACCCATCTGACAGATCTCAGAACTCCCAAATTTCCATTTCTGGGTTTATTAGCTTCTTCTACCTCTCACTACCCCCCTTCTGCCCAAATGTGTTTTGCCATCAACTTGACCTCCTGTCCTTTCATTCTTTAATTTCTTTATTTCATTTATAAGATATGTAAATCTGAAGATGATTACTCCTATATATATGATTTGTGTATTTTTTTTTAGGGTACATAGGAAAGCAGCAGTTTTAAAAGTGTGGTTCCCAAGACTCGATATCCCTTTTTCACTGTGTTGACATTTGAATTGATGGTAGATATAACTGCTGGTGTCTTACCATTAGTCAAGGAAGTAGAACCAAACAGTACTATAGTCATTTATTGTATTTTTTGAATCTCTACATACTTGTATACTCTCAGTTAAAAAAAAAAAAGGCCGTTTTACTTAATATTCTTATTTCTTGATGAAGTAGAAAAGCATTAAATCTCATCTCTGGAGTGCAGGATTTATTTAATACTCTGGATGACAAAATGAAAAATATGCATAAGGCATTTATGCTGCATATGGAAATGAAATGGTTATCTTGAGAAAAAGCATTTTCTATGTTGGAGTTGCAAGCCATACTAGCCATGTTTTTTCATTGAACATTTTTAGTTGAAGAAGCAACTGAAACAAACTGTAGTTATTCAGATGTAAATGACATTTTCTCTACAAAAACTAACAAAATGACATTTTCTCTACAAAACACTAACAAAGTGACCCTGTCATTTCAAGGAAACTTTACTTGCCAATGATGACATTTGAGCTTTTAAGCAAAAATCATTTTGGGAAAAATTCTATCCACTATTTGAGTTTTGGAAAACTTGTACTTACTATTTTAAGCTTGATAGCTTCCTAATACTTAGTCTTCTCTGGTGAAATTGGTGGTGATATTAATGAACTATGTCAACTTTTGGAAAGTCTGCAAATTTAAACTAATATTTTTCAAAAGACCAATGCATAATCCTTCTCATACTTATTCAAAGTATAAAACAGACCAATGGATTTTAGTGTAACAGGACAAAATGTTCATTGGTGTGATTTCAGAATAAAAAAATCAGTTCTCTTAAAAGCTATTAGAATGTTCTCCACTTTTCCAACTATGTATTTGTGTGAGGACAGATTTTATTCACATACTTCAACTAAAGTAACATTGTGAGAGATGGAATGTTCGAGGAGATATAATAGCTATGCTCTGAAAAAACAAAGAGATTAGTACATGTTAAATCATGCTATTCCTCTCAATAATTGTTCAGAGAGATTCTTTGTGCCCACTCAGTAAGTAAGGAATGGTATCTTTATATATTTCCAGTTTGCATTTATTTTATTATAATAAAGTTGTTATTCTCAAATGCTTAAAACCATTTTCATTTTTTATTTTCTGTGAACCATATGTTCAAGCCTTTTACCCATTTTCTTATACCTGGTTTTAGGTGTTTTTTTTTTTTTTTAATTTTAACAGATACTTATACATTGATATCATCATTCCTCTGTTATTATACAAATTGCAAATATTTTCTCTCTACTTGTAATCTGGCTCTGAATTTGCTCCAATTCTGTTTTCACTGTTTCATTGAGTCCTTCAATGCCCTTGTATAGCTTCCCTTGTCTTGAATCCCAGAATGTGGTCTAGACTACTTAACTGAAAAGAACTGATTGGTCACAACAATGAACAGGTTTACAAATTCTGTCCTCACTGCTGGCTTTATTTTATTTGAGCTTATAGTAGCAGTTGACCAATAACCCTCCTCTTGACGTGTTTTCTTCTCTTTGCTATCAAGGTCACATATCAGGCATCCCTCCCACTTTACTGGTCTGCTTCTCAGCTTCCTTTTTTTGGCTTCACATCCCTTTGAACTTCTAAATCTTGGGTCAACTCTGATCCCTTATTCAAGTTCTCCAGTGTCTTTGTTGGTAATCACATTTATTTCCAAAATGTAAGAACCACTCTCCAATTTCATAGTCTTCTACCTAGACACAGCACTTCCAACTCATTTGCAATTAAATGTCTAATAAGCACTCAGATTAACATATCTAAAACAATGTTTTGGGTGTCAACCAATACCTTTCTTCCCCCAACTCACTTTAAAAGTAACTCATTAAGAAGCATAGTTTAAGCTGCCACCATTTCTTCATTTTGACTATGTTCAGCCCTGCTCCATTCTCCTGCTTAACTCCTCTTATCTCAAGAGTAAAAATACTATTTTAAAGCCCAAATCAGGTTTCTAATAATTTTCTTTTGCATTTAATAGAAAGTCCAAATCCCTAAATGAGTGCTGGATGGTATGGTTCCCTTCCTACATCTAATCTCACCCACAGCTTGTCCCCAACAAGTGCTGATTCCAATTACAACAAATTCATCTGTATGCTTTCTGCTGCCTCATCTGGTAATGCCTCTCAGATTTTTGATGTTCTCACTCATTTATTTCCTTCAGTTCTCAGTTCAGACATCACTCCTCAGAGAGGCCTTTCTATAACTACCCAATTTGAAGTGTTTTCTTGCTATCCATGTCATCTTATTTTCTTTGACCATAACTGTATTTATGACAGACTTGTTGGTCACTCCATTCACAAAAAACTAAGTTCCTCAGATGCCATGTCCATACCAGGTATACTAGATGTTCAATAATTTTTTAAAAGACATTTTAAATCAGAACAGCACAAAGGAGAAATCAGACAAGGAGAGAGATAATAAAGTTTGAATACTTTTACAGAAACCAAGAGAAAGTTAAATTGGAGAATAATTTGTCTCCCTAGTTAGTATGTTGTCTGTGTGCTAATTCCATACCTACACTTATCTTGTTCCTCCCAATTATATTTTTTCTTTGTCTTTGCTTTTTAACTTATTCTTTAATACTGTTGGCGTATGTACATATTTTAAGGCTTCCATAAATACTAAGATCAAGTTTAGGTAATTAATAAAACCCATGACTAAGGAAGGGATCATCAGAGAGGAGCTCACCTTTGTAACCTTGAGTATTTCCTTTAGGAAAAACAGTCGGAACAATGGAGCTTGAAGGGCTTTTATCAGTACAGCTGCTCCCTCAGCCCCGCCTTTCATCATCTGGTAGGAAATCTGTAAAGAGTCAAATTATATCCATATAATAG